TCTACTGCACCTTCTCCCTGTTTTTTACCCTGGGGATTGATATGGCTCTGGAAAAGAGTGGATGAATCTCCAACTAGTGGGTTTTGTGGGTAAGGGGTAAAAGGGTTTTGGGATCTGGACCCCTCTATGGAAGTGTCATGGGAATTTTGTGTAGGTCCCTCTTTTTTATGGGAAAAGGTCTCTAATGTTTTATCCGCCTGACCCCCTGAAAAGGTAGTCTGGTCATGAGAAGGAGGGGGCTTTCTGGGGCCTCTGTATCTATGGGATGGGGAAAATCATTATTATTGTCTGAAATTACTAAAACGAATTAATAGCAGTATATATATAAAAACAGGATTGTGTGATTAAAAGAATTTTAAAAGGATACAGTTACTATAGATCAGGAGATCTTCTAGATCTAATGGGGAGCGGCTCTTAGAATGGAAAACTAGTCTTAATGGCAGCTATAAAGTATGTGAACTTTTCAGAGTTTGTCACATAGTTACAAATTTCTTGATAAAAATTAATATCGAATGTAGCACTGAGGCTAGCTGAGGCTAGCTCTGCTATTAATTCGTTTTAGTAATTTCAGACAATAATTTTAACTTTCAATGCCAATGTGTTTACTCATCAGTAACGGCGGTTTACCCGTCAGACAGGTGAGAGCGCATAGCGAAAATACCGGCAATTGGTCTGACACTGCCACATTACCTTTCCAGTGATAAACCCCTGTGATTGGTCAACGATTAATTCAAATAGAGCAGGATATAGAAGAGTTCACTCAGGTTCTGATGAAGGGGGCGTGCCCCTGAAACATGTAGACCGTTCGAACTCATAGGGGCAGAGGACCTTTGATCTGTTTCATTCTGTGAGACTCCCGCTGCCAGAGATTTCCATTGCATCGCCTTTTACATGCTTTTATTGATCGACCCTTTTTGTGAGTATAATTTCAGCTGTGTTGCCGTATAAATAAATAAAATAAAAACTTTTTACACGATGGAGGCGCTCTGTTTTGCTTTGTACTTCCCAGATCGAAGGTCTATTTGACCGGTGGGAGCTGCCTCATCTGTGTATCTACAAAACGTCCAAATTGGCTATTCTCTTGCAACCGGCAGCGCCGGTATTTATTTGGTTGTTACTTCTCTAGAGACTGATTCTTTAGACTCTACGGGCAGCCACCAGTTGCAGAGTTGGAACTTCCTAAACCATTGACATAGTGTTTGTGGATTTAAACCGTTGACTCCTACAATCAAGAGTCGAGATTGTGCATTTATATCATTCTTTTTGCCAGAAAATGACATCCATTATTGATGAGAGATTTCACAGAAGGTCAGACCTGTTTAAGGAATTTATAAAAGATGATGCAAAAATGAATCCACCTGAAATTGTCATCTAATTCTGATCCAGATGATATTCAATGGAAAACCATGATTAAACTTGTTTCATCAGCTAAAATCACTACTAGAAAAGGAGATGTTACATTGGTGGGATGCCGAAATGTTAAAGCATTATATTAAAAGCAATTTAGTTCCCAGAGGTCTGCGCATTTCCAATAGATGCAACTTTTTGGAAACAGACCTACTTGAAAAATGGGAACAGTTTGCTTTGACTTGTTCTAGAGAGTGGTTATCCCTTATCATTATCCAACGTGAGAGATTAATTGACAACATTAAAACCAAAATAACCACACTAAAAGATGAAATCCAGACCTTCCACACACATTTAAAATTCACTGAGTGGGAGAATAAGATAAAGGGAAAGGTTCTGGCTTTTGAACAAAGTTTGATTGAGATAAAACGTGGAAAACATTTGAGGGACCAGACAGACTTCCAGGAGGGGAAGGTCTTTTCCTGGAAGCCATCCAATCCGAATAGGAATCGATACACACATATACAGGGCAATAAGGGTAGGCCTGTATTTCATCCCAGACCCAACACACACCTTAGACCGGAATCCTCATTTTCCCTCCCGCCTGTCCATTCGAGACACACTTCTTTGGGCAAATTCTCTCCCAGTCATTTTTCCGGTCCAAAACCCACTGATCTGTGGGGACACTCCGCAAAAGGGGGCCCTATGACCCCCAGGGTATTTCCGGACCCCCTTCACAAAAAAGGTTTCCCCAAGATTTTCCCCATCCCATAGATACAGAGGCCCCAGAAAGCCCCCTCCTTCTCATGACCAGACTACCTTTTCAGGGGGTCAGGCGGATAAAACATTAGAGACCTTTTCCCATAAAAAAGAGGGACCTACACAAAATTCCCATGACACTTCCATAGAGGGGTCCAGATCCCAAAACCCTTTTACCCCTTACCCACAAAACCCACTAGTTGGAGATTCATCCACTCTTTTCCAGAGCCATATCAATCCCCAGGGTAAAAAACAGGGAGAAGGTGCAGTAGAATGGGAACGAGTTGGAACTATACAGAAATCTAATGGTACAGCAACCCACAACATAGTAGAGGGGGGAGTGAATTTTGATCACCCAAATAGTAGTAATTTTTTATCAGATCCCAGGACACCCAAAGTAAAAATAAAAAGAATACCAGAAAAGGGAGAGGATGCAGACCCAGACATTTCGCACACACACTTTAGGCCTAAATCCAACTTCTATCCCCTGGGCTCTAAGGGTGATCATATCATCACTTTTTATCAACTAGTCCATAGAGATTTTAAAAAACTTTGCTCTGAGAGAGGGCATAAGGCTAAAAATGTACGCACAGGAGAAGCAAAAGCGTTACAAGATCTCAGGAAAAATCATGACTTAGTAATAAAACAAGCAAACAAAGGAGGGGGTCTGGTAATTCAGGACCGTAAAGACCACATAAGAGAGGCACACAGATTGTTGTCCGATAGTTCTACATATGTTAAACTAGATAGTGACCCTACAAATTAATATAAGGGACAACTCAACATCCTACTAAAGGAGGCTAGGGACACTGGTGTACTCTCTAAATCAGAATTTCAGTTCTTATCTGTAGGTCACACCTGTGTACCGTACTTCTATCATATACCCAAAATCCACAAAAATCCAATATTGCCCCCTGGTAGGCCGATTATAGCTGGCATGGATGCACTCACGTACAATCTGGCCAGCTACATCGATTTTTTCCTCCAACCATTAGTGTGCGAAATACCCTCTTTTGTAAGAGACTCTAGCCGTATCCTTGAGATCCTGAAACCCTATACCTGGAAAGAGGGCTATCTTTGGGCTTCTTTAGATGTGGCCTCGTTGTATACTTCGATTGAGCACCAGTCAGGGCTTCAAGCAGTACAACATTTTCTGATCAAATCAGGTACTATCAACTCCTCCCAGGCAGCTTTTATCATCAAAGCCATTGAATATACTCTAATTCACAACTATTTTACCTTTTTAGGGGAATATTATGTCCAACTGAAGGGTACAGCCATGGGAGCGAGATTCGCTCCGAGCTATGCCAACCTGCTCATGGCATGGCGGGAACAGCAATATATCTGGACAAATAACCCATTTGGCAAGCATCTTGTCCTTTTCGCTCGGTACATCGACGATATTATAATAATTTGGGAAGGTACCGAGACCACCCTGTTGGAATTTGTAGAGTACTGCAGGAAAAATGCATTTAAACTAGATTTCACCTATGTGGTAGACAAGAACCTTCTAGTATTTCTTGATTTAGAGCTAAGTGTGGGCCCAGGAGGGGAAATAGTTTCAAAAACTCATTTTAAACCCTCTGCAGGGAATTCGTATTTACATGTCAGAAGCAGCCATCACCCTAGATGGATAAGAAATGTACCAGATGGGCAATTTGGAAGGCTTAGAAGGACCTGCACTCAGGATTTAGATTATGCCAAACAAGGAGAGATTTTAAAGGAAAAATGTCGTGATAAGGGGTATAATCAAGTTGTCATTAATGAGGCTTTCGAAAAACACCTAGTGCCCCCTCCCCTAAAAAAGACCAGTAATAAGAAAAAGCAAGATACAATTTCCAAATATCAAATCAGTTTTTGCACCCAATACAATAATGCCGCCTTTCGTATTGGGCAGGTCCTTAGAAAACATTGGATATTTACATGCCAGAAGCAGCCATCACCCTAGATGGATAAGAAATGTACCAGATGGGCAATTTGGAAGGCTTAGAAGGACCTGCACTCAGGATTTAGATTATGCCAAACAAGGAGAGATTTTAAAGGAAAAATGTCGTGATAAGGGGTATAATCAAGTTGTCATTAATGAGGCTTTCGAAAAACACCTAGTGCCCCCTCCCCTAAAAAAGACCAGTAATAAGAAAAAGCAAGATACAATTTCCAAATATCAAATCAGTTTTTGCACCCAATACAATAATGCCGCCTTTCGTATTGGGCAGGTCCTTAGAAAACATTGGGGCGTTCTAAAAGAAGATCCATTCCTTAATGGATCACTCTCTAGGGCGCCCAAAGTAATCTTTCGCAGACCTAATGACCTGCGCAGACAAATAGCTCCAAGCAAGATCAAGACCCAGAGGGGTTTATTTTCTGATCAGGGACTATTTGGCCAAACGGGGTGTTACAGGTGCAATGCACCAAATTGTGGGGCCTGTGCCTATTTTTGGCACAGAAAGAAAGTAGTTGAACACATGTAGCAGGTTCAGCAAGTTTTGCAAAGACTTCCAGAATACTTGCGGGTGTGTGCTCTGAAATGTTCTGGGCTCACAGCGGGGTAGCAGTCTCAATTCGCCAGTTAGTGGTTCTGGGCAGTAATCTGTGTTGATAATCCACGGGCAGCCTGTGGGTTCTCTGTTCGTCACTCGACTCTCCACAACGAGAGAACGCTGAGCAACGAACCAGCTGAGCTTTTACCTTGGTAGCCGCGCCCCGTGGGAGGAGCCGCCGTGACGTCACGCACGAGACGACCCTTCGCTGGAGCGCGGGGACACGCCGAGTAAGTCTGTGACAGTAGTTGAGGGACCAAAAGGGAGAGTTTTTTCGATTAAACAATTTATCAATTGTGCTTCTACCTTTGTGATTTATGGTATTCTATGTTCTTGTGGCAAATTGTATGTGGGTCACACCACCAGAACTCTACGAACAAGATTCAGTGAGCATAAAAGAAATATAATCAGAAAAGCCGATGACGACTCATTACCTGTACATTTTTTTAATTTTCACAACCACAGTCCTGAAGGCTTGAAGGTCTTTGGTATTGAATTAATCTCATCAGATTTGGATGAGGGAAATAGATATAAAAGGTTATGCAGGAGGGAGGCGTTTTGGATATATACGCTAAATAGCCTTTTTCCTATGGGACTAAACGAAGGTATGGAATTAGCTTCGGCTCTGTAGGTTAAAATATCGAATCTTTCCATGTCATTGTCCAATCAATTAATTCATCCTCTATATCCATTCATTTATGTTCCGTCCATTCCCGATCCATATACAATTTACATCCATTTGACCATTATTATATATTTTCATAAACGTCCATTCATTATTTAATTTATTTATATATTTTTTTAATTTTTGTATGTAATCCTCATCTGAGGCCAAATGGCCAATTATTCCTTCCTCATCTATGAAGGTTCAATATATGTATTTTCAATCATATCAACATCTAAGAGACAAGATATAAACAAATATTTATTACTTGTGCACTTGTTCTTCCATTCCCCATACAGTACTAACACGTATATTGGTCTCCTCATCCACGTTTGGGCCTATATCATGTATTTATGTATTTATCATCTGATTTTAGAATATAATTGATCCTTGCTCAATACCATCATCATTATATTTTATATTTTGGTTTCATAACATAATTGATTGTTGCCACTTTGTATCATCTACACGCAGTGTATATTATTGTGGTTTGAATGTGCAACATAATGGATTGTTGCTTTTTTATGTCATTTACACGCTGCCTATAACATTGCGGTTTGAATGTCTAACATAATTGATTGTTGCCGCTTGATATTATGTACACGCTATATATTTTAATGTTGCTCTTTTATTTGCCTCAGTGCTACATTCGATATAAATTTTTATCAACGAATTTGTAACTATGTGACAAACTCTGAAAAGTTCACATACTTTATAGCTGCCATTAAGACTAGTTTTCCATTCTAAGAGCCGCTCCCCATTAGATCTAGAAGATCTCCTGATCTATAGTAACTGTATCCTTTTAAAATTCTTTTAATCACACAATCCTGTTTTTATATATATACTGCTATTACCGGTAATTCGTTTTAGTAATTTCAGACAATAATTTTAACTATCAATGCCAATGTGTTTACTCATCAGTAACGGCGGTTTACCCGTCAGACAGGTGAGAGCGCATAGCGAAAATACCGGCAATTGGTCTGACACTGCCACATTACCTTTCCAGTGATAAACCCCTGTGATTGGTCAACGATTAATTCAAATAGAGCAGGATATAGAAGAGTTCACTCAGGTTCTGATGGAGGGGGCGTGCCCCTGAAACGCGTAGACCGTTCGAACTCATAGGGGCAGAGGACCTTTGATCTGTTTCATTCTGTGAGACTCCCACTGCCAGAGATTTCCATTGCATCGCCTTTTACATGCTTTTATTGATCGACCCTTTTTGTGAGTATAATTTCAGCTGTGTTGCCGTATAAATAAATGACTTTTTACACGATGGAGGCGCTCTGTTTTGCTTTCTACTTCCTACATTTGGATGACGCTGGGTTTATTATAGGTACAGGCTGTGACTCCAGGAGCACTGGAGAGGGTTAATTCTGGACATTGAACTGTTACAGTTTATTGGTCCCTTTGTTGTATTGTGTTGATGATGGGATTAGGATAGCTGATTCTAGGAGTAGCTGACTTCGGGTGTAGATGAGTAGATACACTCAGGAGATAATCCCATCACATGTGTCTCCTCTCTCCCTGTTCATTCATTAAGACATAGGGGAGGGGGTGTCTGTTTGCATGCTGTTCATGTTTGATTGCGTTATGTGTTTAGACCCCCAGAGCTGTATATATACTGAGCTGGTCTTCAATAAAGCAGTTCTTGGTTTCCACCTCAACATTGGTGTTGTCTAATGATTGAGTGGTTAAGCGTTCTGTCCTAAGATATTGGTTCTGTCCAATAATTAGGCAGGTTTGGGCTGAGGACACTGGAATTCGGGTTCCAGTGGAGAGGAAGCTGTTTACGGACGGAGGTACCCAGTCGGGGTACCAGGAGGTCCGTCACACCCTCCATGCGGCTAGGGTGTGAAAAGGTCTCATATGTGTGGCATCCCCATACTCGAAAGGAGTAGCAGAATGTGTTTTGGGGTGTAATTCTGAGTGTACCTATACTGTGTATAAGAAATATCTTATTAACAGACAACTTTGTGGAAAAAAAAAAATCTTAATTTTTTTGATAGGTTGTGCCAAAAAATTACATCTTTAAAACACCCAGCATGCATCTTATCAAATGCCTTTGGGTGTCTGCTTTACAAAATGGGGTCATTTTGTGGGTGTTTCCACTGTCCTGGTATTTTAGGGTCTCAAGAAATGTGATAGGTAGTCAGGGCACCAGAGTTGATACATTTCCAATGATATGGTATATATACCATTGTTCTGTAGACTGTATAACTGTAAGACATTCTAATTAATTTACACTTATTTGGATTTTTTTACCAAAGAAATGTAGCAGAACACATTTTGGCCTAAATGTATGAAGAAAAATTATTTATTTGCAATGTTTCATTAACATAATATAAGGAAAACAGGTTTTTTTTTAAATTGTATTTTTTTTCTTTATATAGTAAAAAATAAAAACCCTAGTGATGATTAAATACCACCAAAAGAAAGCTCTATGTGTCCCCAGAAAATGGTAAAAAATTCATTTGAGTACAGCGTTGCATGACAGAATAAATGTCAGTCAAAGTACCGCAGCGCTGAATACTTAAAAATGGCCTGCCCAGGAAGAGGGTGTAAACACCTGGTGTTCAAGTGGTTAAGAGTTCCCTTCACTGGAACTAAGGGACCAAGCTCAACCCCTGAAAAAACATCACCACACCATAATCCATCCTCCACCAAACTTTACACTTGGCACAATGCAGTCAGGCAAGTACCATTCTCCTGGCAACTGCCAAACCCAGACACGTCCATTGGATTGCCAGACAGCAGCGTGATTTGTTACTCCAGAGAACACGTCTCCACTTCTCTAGAGTCCAGTGGCAGTGTGCTTTACACCACTGCATCTGCACTTGGTGATGTAAGGCTTGGATGCAGCTGCTCGGCCACGGAAACTCATTCCATGAAGCTCTCTACGCATTGTTGTTGTGCCAATCTAAAGGTCACACCAAGTTTGGAGGTCTGTAGCTATTGACTCTGCAGACAGTTGCCGACTTCTGCGCACTGTGTGCTTCAGCATGCGCTGACCCCGCTCTGTCCTTTTTCGTGGCCTACCGCTTTGTGGCTGAGTTGCTGTTGTTCCCAGTTGCTTCCACTTTGTTATAATACCACTAACAGTTGACCGTGGAATATTTAGTAGCAAGGAAATCTCACGGAGGGACTTATTGCACAGGTGGCAACCTATCACGGTACCACGCTTGAATTCAATGAGCTCCTAAGAGCGACCCATTATTTCACAAATGTTTGTAGAAGCAATCTGCATGCCTAGGTGCTTGATTTTATACACCCGTGACCATGGAGGTGATTGGAACACCTGAATCCAATAATTTGGACGGGTGTCCCAATACTTTTGGCAATATAGTGTATTGTGACAGAACCCAAGGCATGGTAGTAGAAGGTGTCTATATTCCCCCTGCAGTGCTCCACTCCGCAGTTTGCGTGTAGCGCAGCAGGGAGAGAAGCCAGTCCAGAGTTTCTGCCTGGCCCAACAAGGCCTCACCTGTACTTAATAAGCAGCACCGGGTAGTCTGGGGAGTCAGTTGGAAGTGGGCTGGAGAGTAGAGAGGCCAACAGCAGTAAGGCCTCATTCACACCAGACACAGTGCGTTCCAGCCTGATTCTGGCCAGAACGCACTGCATCGCATTGTGGCCGGCTCACTATGTTGTGGGGCAGGAGGGGGTGTTGAGGTTCATTGAAGTGAATGGTACTGTAGCCATGCTCTCCGGCCGCAATGCGATCGGCCGCACTGGAACACAAGGCACATTATGTATATGTGTGTGTGTGTGTATGTATGTATTATATTCTGATACTAAAGAAGATGGAGGTGGCTAAATGGCTATCACCATTTAAAGCATCACATTATTGGCTACAATTTTTAGCTATGTATACAGGGCACTGAATGGTGTCAAAGTTTACTAACTGCGACAACAAGGACAGTGCGTAATCACATATTACTTTCAAAGCAAGACTTGCATAATATCCCAAAACAAAACGACAGCTGGGAAAATGTACAAAATAACATTAGGTTGATGTTGAGGATAGCGAAAAGCTATGAAAAAGAGAGCGAGAAAAAAAGAGAGAGATTCTATTAAAAGAAATTAAAAAGTAATTTACAGAAAGAGGAACAACCAGACACAAGATATGCACCATTTCTGGTAAAAGGATTTCAAACTTATGCAATTGCAGGATTTCCTAAATATTCTCTGCATCCTCTGTGGCAACCAGTATTGTAAGTCATAGGAAGAAAATACATTTACAGAGCAAAGGCTAAGTGGTAGCTTTCGAAAATTGTGAAAGCTAATCATGTTAAAACAGTCCTTCAGTTGTAAACATTAGAACACAAAATAAATTATTTATAGCAATAATTTAAGTTGTGCATAAGGATGAAAATTAAACCAGTAATATCAAGACTTTGAAAATGTATTAAAGAAATCAGATGTGCATTATACGTGATGAAATGAGTTTGAGGCTAGGTTTACACCTAGGCGGCACCTCACTGCTGTGTTAACCGATCGCACTGTGGGTGCCATTATTTTCTAATGGCACCCCAGTCGCGCCGGGCGGATTGCGCGGTTTCCCGTGCTTCCGCGCGTCGTGTATCACAAAAAGAAGGTACTTTTTTTGTGATTGCTGCACGGATGTCATCCCAATGAAATCAATGGGGCCGCACGGCAATCGCTGTCTGCATTGTGCAGGACCGCATGATTCTGGGACGCATGTCCTTGGTGTCGTGCGGTGTAGTGCAGGTGTGAACCTAGCCTTAAAGTAAACTAGCAAGTGTACCTATTTTTTGGATGGAATGAAATACCACATTCCAGCATTATGGGGAATGTAATTTATAGCACAGTGTACATGGTGCAGCAGTGTGTGGCTGTGCCATGGAAAAGCATGAAGGCACAGTGGCAGACAGTATTCTGTGTTAGCCAAGTGTGGAGGAGGAGACAGGCGGCAGGGATCGGAGTAGCAGTCAGTTGGCTGCTAGGTTCAGGTGAGTATAACTTTTCTATTTTCATCCCTAGGGAGTGGAGTTGAGTACAGGGGTGGACTGACAACACAAAGGGCCCCCAGGCAATACGAGATCATGGGGCCCCTTGCACTTACAAGTCCCAAACACATGTACATTCTTGTGGTACAGAAATAATTTCTCCACACTATTGTCAAAATAGCAGCTCTAATCACTAAACAGTGAATGGTTAGGAGAATTACAAAATCTAGACAAATCAGGCAATTTGGAAAATGAGCTAAATGGCAGAATTTTTCTGGTTTGGCTATTTTGACCTAGATTCTTCAATTCTGCCAATCAATAGCCAAACCAGAAAAATTCTCGAATTTAGTTCACTTTTCAAATCGTCTATATTGGTCAAGATTTTAAAATTATACTGCATTTCTCCTACCAATTTACCCCTTTAGTAAATAGACTTGTAAGTGCTTTAGTGCTCAGTAGTAAAGAAGGCACAGTTCAGTAGTAAAGAACGCACAGCACAAAGAACAAACAGTTCAGTAGTAAAGAACGAGGAATAGGAAGGAATAGGTGGGAAAGAATACAGGGGAGCCATTCTGGTAGGAGGCCTCCACAGGTGCTCTTTAACAGATGGTCTGTCCCTGAGCCTGGTAGCGATTATAATCAGGAAATAAATGAGAGCCTTAAGCTCACTAGGCAGTTCTTTGGTCGCAATCTCATCTTTTAAAGGAGAACTATGAGGTGAGTGCTTTTCACTCACCTCATAGTTCTAGCCGACCTGTGACTATGAGACTGTCACAGGTCGGCTCAGTAAATCGGGAAGTGAGCAAACACATACCGGCATTCGCTCACCTCTCGATCCTGTCACATCCCTCTGCCGTGACAGGGGAGGGGCTGGATTCCCCCCTCCCTGCTCCAATCCGCCAGCGCTGACTGGCGGATCGGACGGGGAGAAGGCGGGTACAGCTGGCTCTGCCTCTAGATAGGCAGAGCCAGCTGTCACTCACGCAACTGGGCGGATCCAGATATAATTGTCGGGATCCGCTTCAGCTGTGGCGTCTCACTATACTGCGAGCAGTATGTCGCGGTATACTGTGGCGTCTCAGTATACCGCGAGCTATAGCTCGCGGTATACTGAGCTTAGGGTGACGGGAGGACGCTAGATTGTGTCCAACCGTTACCCTAAGGAGAACTATGGGGAAAAGCCTTAACCCCATAGTTCCCCTTTAAGGTATCGGAGAGGCCATGTGAGAAGACAGCCACCATAACCTCGTTATTCCAGCCCACCTCTGCCGCCAGGGTACGATATTCAATAGCATACTCATAGCAGAGGTGGAATGAGTCAGTGCAACAAATTCAGAGTAATCGTGTATGACAGGTTTATTGTTTTCCCATAAGGAACTCGTCAAGGCCTTATCCGAGAGCAAAGTGATCAGGAAGCCCAACTTTGATCTATCAGATGGAAACACATGGGGAGGCATTTCAAAATAAATGCACACTTGGTTAAGGGAAGCCACAACATTGATTCAGATCCCCCCAATAATCCTGAGGGAGGGTGGCTGGACCAGTCATACCCTTAGCGACTGCTGGTTCAAGATGGGCAAGATGGCTCATCACCGTGGGTAGCTTAGTAATACCTGCACTGTCAGGATTCATGGCCCTTGCCTACTGTTAGGTAGACATGTGCGATTCGTTTTTAGAATTTTTTTTTTTTTTAACGGATGAATTTTCGTTAGTCATAGATTCGGATGTATCCAAATTTCTGAATAACATAATTGACGAATGCAAACGAATCCAAATTAACAAAATTTAGGACGAAATTCGTTAGCGGTAGTCTAATTGACTTTCGGACCCGAATCCCGAAAAACAAAATAACGCAAAATCCGAAACGAAACAAATGTTTTGCCATTGCACATGTCTACTGTTAAGCTACCAAGAAACCAGACAGAAACTAAAGTGCAGGTTTAAAAAATAAAAAGAGTTTACTGAAAACAACAATAAACATAAATGCAAAAAACAATGGAGAAAGTCCAGGACATCATCAGTGCCAAGCCAGAGGTCAGATGCCAAAGGGGGTAGTCAGCCAAACCAAGTCAGGGAACAGTGAGAGAAGGATGAACAGAAACAATAGCCGGAATCAGGAACCAGGAGATCAGTCAGCCAGAGCCAGGTTCATACACAGAGAACAGGAACAACTGCAGAGCACTTGGTAGATCAGAACACATGCAAGGGCAGAGACTGAATGGACAAGCTGATGGTTAAATAGTGAACTGGTGTTTGCAACATCACTCTGAGACAGGAATTTGTCAGAAGTTTGCTAGTAGTTGCAGAATGATTATGTTTATGGGTTTGGTCATAAGAGGGCACCAAAGAGGAACAAACAGTGTGAGAGACACTGCAACCAAGCCATGCTGCAAACAACTGGACAAGAAAGGATAATAAAACCTGACAATTTGTTCAATTTTAAAAATTGAGTAAAAATATTGTAATTTTAATCAAGTAAAATCAGGAAATCAGTCACACATAAAAAAGAATTATAAAAAACACAAAAACATTTTTAAAGTCCCCAGCCCCACATACACGCGTACAAACATGCGTCGGGTGCGCATACGTGTGAAAACGACGATTGCGCCAATTACGCTGCACATGTTACATATCACTGCGAACGTCAGAGTGAGGGCAATAATTTTAGGGCCACTATTCACTGATCACACTAAACTGATGATCGGTAAAAGCTTTTAAAGCATCGCCTATGGCCAAGTTTGGGCTCGGTACTTTTTCATTATATAGTAGTGGTGATTAAATAGCACCAAAAGAAAGCTCTATCTGTCCCCCAAAAAATAGTATAACATTTATTTCAGTACAGAGCTGCATGACTGAATAAATGTGAGTCAAAGTACCGCAGCGCTGAATACTGAAAAATGGCTTGGCCATGAAGGGGTTTAAACACCTGGTCTTTAAGCGGTTAAAAAGCCTTGTGTTATGTGCAGAGGATTGCTGCAAAGTATACAAATCTTACCTTGCAACATGCTGGCTCCTACACATAAAGGCGAGCTATGATTGAAGGAGAGGAGGGGGTGGAAATGTGACATAATCTCTCCTCCTCCAATCACAGAATGCCATGTATTCTTTGAAAAATACAAGACATTTTATGAATGGGCACAATGAGGGAGAGGGGGGGTTATGCAACCTGAGCAATATACTGCTCGTATCACATCTCTCCCTCTTCTTAGTGGCTAGAAGCTGTGTGTGAAGAAGTGTGTAAATTATAATTTTTCCCAGAGTTGATTTGAACTGGCAAAATTCAAAAAGGACCAGGTGGTATAAGCAGAGACTACTGATTCCAGAGGATCTCCCTGAGAATATATTCTTATTAATTTGGTACCAGTTGAGACTTTTCTCAGCTCCCATCTCTATATTTTATAGACTTTTATATAAAAATATTTAGATAAGAGTGTCAAGTTAATACTTCACAGCCAGAGTGAAGCTTTATAACCTCTCTACTGAAGTTCCTTGAAAAAATAGCAGCGGTCATGTGACCGAAAATAACATAATAATATACTGTATAGGTAGTTTATGAAAGTGTGATGGATCGCTGAATTATGTTAATGATGAAGAAACTTTTACTTAGCATATTTATTGTTAGAGGCTTGCCCTATACTTTAGGTGACAGGGTTCCCCATCCGCCCCTCAGTTGGAGCCACTACAAAACAGCCAACCCTTTTGGGAAAGGCAGAAGCACATGACCTCCTCCTATGATGCAGTGCTTGAGCCTATTAATCAATTGTCAGGTCTGATCACTTTTACATAAGTAGAAGGTTGATGTCATCAACCCAACCCTATCCAACATGGAGCTTACAAAGGGTCGGGACTGCAGAGCAACAACGTGGAAAGGAAGCATCAGCGTTCATGTAATTAGGTGTTTTATATGAGACTTACCTGAGTGAATTACGAGTATAAGGTGCTGGATAGCAAGTGGTGAGATTAGGTTGCGACTGTGAAGTGGTTAATCGTGATTGTCGCTGAATTGGAACTGAAAAAAGGGGAAAAAAAATGTTTAAACTTTGCTGAGAGGGGAAGTTAGTTTGTGGTTTGCAAACAATATAAAAGTGCTAGACACTCCTTGATCAATAATGCTGTAAATGTTAGCTAAACAAAACCAGTAAAAGATATCAGATGAACTAGAGGATAACCATACTGTTAAAGCACATTCCGGGACAACAATCAGCTTGGCAAATGTAACCTTTACCTTTTGGCTTTTCTTTCCCAGTGCTTTAAAACAGTCCCATGCCAGTAGGAATGTAGCTTTGTTCACATTCAACTTGTCATACTGTTAACAAGGAACGCTTCAGGGATATCTCTAGATGAACATTGTGCTTTCCACAAATGGATATCTGGAAACACACTGCAACACATTTGTGACTTGTTTTCTTAGTGATTACATGGTAGAGGAATAATACAGAAACGACCCTAAATATTGGCATTGAAACAAACAGATGGGGCAGATGCTTTCTTTCTTGTTTTTAGTTCTCTTCTGTAGTCATGCTGCTTTTTGCACCACAGTGTAGACTGCAGACAGGGTGAATTTAATCAAAGCTGTGTTTTCAATTGCCTGGCCACTGGTGATAGCACTAAAAGCAAAGAGAACTAATTTGCAGACTAAATTGGTTAACTATAAATCATGGGTGGACTGACAACATATGAGGCCCCCGGGGAATATGAGATTATGGGACCCCTTGTTCTCATATACATATATATGCCCATATACAAGCCACACCCACATATACATCCTTGTGTTACAGAAATTCATTCTCCACCATTTTCAAAATAGCAGGTCTATTCACTAAACGGTGAATTGTAGGGGCATTGGTAGGAGAATTTTAAAATATGGACCAATATAGGCGATTTGGAAAGTGAGCTACTGTAAATGGCAGATTTTTTTCTAGTTTGCCTATTTTGACCTAGATTCTCCAATTCTGCCAATTATCCTGGGTGAAAAACAGGAAAATTAGTAGGAGAATTGACAGGGGAACTGAATACTCTAGGACCGGAGCGGGGGTTTGGGCGCATATCACACATGCGGTATGCAATCCCCTGCTCCAGTGCATGCGGTATCAGCAGACGCGCCTGACCTGTGGGATGAGCTAACTTTCTTCTGCTCTTTCCTATAGAAGGTCCGTAGATTAGCTATCTTCAGTTTCACGTAATTCATGTCTGCACATGGCGAGATGGTCTTACATAATTCAGCAAGTTTCATATAAGCCTCCGTTCGCTTAGAGCGATTACAATAATCCTTGCTCTGCACTCTCCACAGACATGGTAGTTCGCGATATAGATCAATGAATTGAGTCAGGAATTCGGGGTGAGTGAAACGCTCTGTCATAATGCCTGTGGAATTGAGAGACCGAATGATGTGTGGGTGTCCAATCCTCAACCTGGCCATGCAAAAAACAAATCACACACCTCCACATTGTAGGACTATGTGTACCCCAATGGTTCATATCCACCTTGGACATGTGGTAATGGGCAGTGACATATAATCAATAGTGAAACATATACATATGGTGCAGTATGAGAAAAACACACATGTGCCATGCACATTGTAAAAACAATGTTGACTATGTGTGAAACACTGCAGTAGGCCCATTTGTCAGCCATATCCTCCTTTCCACACATAGCTTGGGGCAAATGCATGTGAAGCACATGGTAGGCAATGTCAATGGGAATAGTGTTCATCTGTGCTTCTGGTTGATCTGTGCCCCAGATATGAAACATGTCACCTCCAGCTCTGCTTCTATTGTCTGATGCCATGGAGTCACTTAATGTGCTATGGCCTGCTACACATACCCTCCTGTCATGCATTGCCCACGATTTGTTATGGAATACTACATACCAGCCAACGAGCAACCGTTTTTTCGCTAAGGTATGGCTTCACTCGAGACCGGAAATACGAAGGCCTGATCGTTTTCATGGGAGCTCCCGTTGGCCACGCCCTTTCGTACAGGTTCGTACAATTACCTCGTCGTCCCGAAACACTGCCCCAGACAGAAGAAATGGAGGGACAATCAAGTGCACAGGGAATGACCACTGCTGCAAAGGGGAAGAATAGCAGGCCAAAGAGGGCATCGTGTATGTCCATCCAGGAAATGGTGGAGTTAGTGTCCATGATGGAGCAGCAGGATTATGACTGCAAGCTGCAGAAATATGAGCAGAAGAACATTAGGAAGGACCGGATCCTCGATCAAGTGATTGAGAGCTTGCAGGCCAAGTTCAATGTCACCAGGTCCAAAGACCAGTTGCGCAAACGCTGGTGTGACCTAAGGTTGAGGGAGACTGGCCAGCTAGCAATGATCCACAGGATGATCCATAGGGGTGAGTGTGAGCTACATTAATATTGCATCTACAGATATGATGGATGTGGCCATCCAGGCCTAGTCTCAGAGGACTAGTGGAGCATGCAGTGCTGTAATGTAGTTTGATACATCTGATGTATTTTCTTCCTCCAACTTTCATGTCTGTCCATGAAAAGCTGTAGGACACAAGGTGTCAGTCTATGCATCATGTCCAGACCTGTGACACATATATGTACATGTCGTGTTGTTGATGGCGCATATGACTATTGTATTTTTCTGATGTTAAAGGCCAGAGGAGTGTGGAGCGGAAGAGCCAGGCCAGCGAGGGTGCTTCAGAGATGGCCATGGAGCAAGCAGTTGTGGAGGAGGCTGACGTGGTGGTCGAGGTTGTGGACTCCTCTTTGTCCTCTTCTTCTGGTATGTACTGTTGTATTACAACATTAGGGCATGGTCTATGTACGTCACATGTTTATGGCCTCCATGTGTTGATTCCATTACAGTAAATGTGGACCTTGTTGAGAGCGAGGAGAAGAGTCCCTTGTCAAAGAGCTAACCAGACACTGCGCGATTTTCGTACAAAAAAACGATCGCATACGATTATCGTACGATAATCGTGCAGTGTATGGGCACTTTAATGAAGGTAATTACTGCTCGCACTGACCATCAATGAAGGACACAGACCACTGAGCATATACTCTATATACTATATAGTCCTGACCCCTGTACTATACACACTACATACAGTAGTCCTGACCCCTACACTCTATACACTATGTAGTTCTGACTGCTGTACTCTTTACACTATAGAAAACTGTCTGCTACACTTTCTACACTACATATAACTTCACTACTTTATACACACTTGACTCCTGACCACTACACTCTTTACACTATGGGGCTGAAGTGTAAAACTTCCACCCAGCGTATTGCTGTTCACACAGCATTACCGCTACTTGATGGAGTCGAGGAACTTTCTATACTCCTTGGTTCCGGGTGAATGGCATTCGCCAAGCTATATGCTGGACGGAAGTCTTATACATCAGCCCCTACTATTTTTAATGTAGACTCAGGCATAGTCCTGACTTCTGCACCATATACAGAATACATGGCCCTAAGCGCTACACTTTATACACTATGCTCTATAGTACATATTTCTGAGTGTAGAGCTCTATATGTTATTGTGTACATTACAGAGCGCTGACTGCTGCACTCTTTTTGGGGGAGCACCCTAAACGCACCTTCTGCCCATAATGCACTAAATTGCGCCGCAACATGTGGTATCTCAATACCATGCATTGGGGTGCGGTTGAAGAAAGTAGTGCATACTAAACTTTTTTCAACCGCACTGCATATAAGTGCTAGACTTGAATATTGTGTACAGGTACAAGGTAATGCTAATAGTTAGGGTCAGTTCACACCAGCCGCTGTGCAAAATGCACAGTTATGGCAATGTGCCTGACACAGTGCCGATGCTGCTATCCCGGCACATCATGTCGTGTCATGTACTTTTTTTTTAGAACTTTATTGAAATGTCACATTTTATCACAAGTGACATTTCATTCAGTTCTATGGGCACACCGGGCTCCAAGGCAGTTAGGTATATTTACCTAACTGTTACAATTAACCTTTGTACTGTATATATCCCGCCATTTATAATACACTGCTTGTGAAAGTGGATAGTTGGCATTGGAACCCTATTATTATGATTATCATTATTATTATCATCTAATATCATAGAGGTGATATTGTTATAGGGTGTCTGAATATTGGGCTGGCAGCTCTCTCATGAATATCTGGAGAAGTGACAGTACATTGATAATAATCCTGAAAGTAAAAGTGTATATTATAAAGGTTAGATTATAGTAAAATGACCATAATCATAGTAATAATATTATTATTACTATAGAATTATTAACGATAATGGAAATAATATAGTAGCAAAATATAACAGCAATAATTCATAATTGTTAAAGAACTTAAGGCTTATAAGAATTTATAATAAATGTATAAAGTTATTTTTTTTTATAAATTCTTTTTATTAAAGATTTTTAGTACTAAACATAGTATAAGCACCCACATCCGTGAGGCACACAGTTCAGTACAGTAATTAGCAACCAAAATACATTGAAAAACCCCAGTAAAGGAACAGACCCATAGTCAGGGCATAGTCATAGAAAGTGTGTGTCCTCCCAATTCCAACCGCACCATACGGAGTGTACATCTTAACAAAGATAACAATGTTTACAAGGTTAAACATACAGCGGTAGTATCACCGCAAGTCTCAGGTGCACACTCGCTAAGTGGTCCGCATAGAAGAAAGAATTAATCTCTCAGCCTGCCGTATCAGCAGACTCTAACCATTCTCCCCAGACCTTGAAAAACTTACTGGGGCATCCTCTCCTCTGATAGGTAGCCTTGTAAAGGCGCAAGTAGGAGTTGACAAGGCCTTTCCAGTCTGAGATGTTTGGAGGTGCACTCTGTCTCCACCGCAGTATCACTACTTTCCTTGCGTAGAATAACGAAATTCCCAGGAATGTCTGTAACGCAATAGTAGGAGCAAGTGGTTCAGTCAACCCCAGAATACATGTGTGTATGCTGGATTTGAGCGGAACATCAACAAATTGTGACATAAATTGAGTAACAATCACCTATTTAGTTACCTGGACTCCTAAATAGGTGA